CCTAGTCTAGGAGTTTCTCAGCACAGGAACCCTGGATCCAAATGACGTGCTCTGCTCCCAGCACTGCTTTCTTGATAGCATGAGGTCCCCCTCTCTCTCTGCTTGCTTCTCTCTTTTATATCTCGAAAGAGATTGACTCAAAATACAACCTAATCTTGTAGATTGAGTCTTGCCTCGTTAACATAACTGCCTCTAATCCTGATCCATTAACATCATAGAGATAGGATTTACAACACATAGGAAAATCATATCAGATGACAAAATGGTGGGCAATCACACAATACTGGGAATTACGGCCTAGCCAAGTTGAAACACATTTTTGGGGGACACATTTCTATCCATAACATGCTGAAATACTAAAATATGTATGTACACACACACACAATTTATTAATGTAGCATATAGCACAGCAACAGGAAAAAATGTTTCTAAATAAGTCAAATTGTGTATCACATTGCACAAAATTTAAAAGTGACAGCTGTGAAATTCTTAAATTGAAATCTACCTTGTCCCTCCATCCTGAAATAATGTCTGTTCATAGCTTACCTGTCTCACTTCCAATCAAAGGCTGGTTTGCGAAATGCTTGACAAAATCCTTCAAAGATGGGAATTCATTAAAGCCAAATTTAAATGAATATCCAGTATATTCAACATGAAAATGTTTGACAGAGTCTTTGGCTCTGAAATGAAGAAGAAATGTTTAACATTATTGGACAAATGAATATCTTTTTTTGAAAGGAAATATACTCTTGGTTATTAGCATCACCAACAGTCCTTTCCAAGAACTGAGAATTATCACACGATCATCAAAATCATTGGTAGTTTTATAGAGTATCCCTGTTTTATTTTGGCAGACTATGCTGTTTTAAATTTTCCACTCTAATGCAGGACTAGAGATAATTCTCCTATGCACTCCCCCACCTACAGATGTTCTTGAACATGAACCCCCTTAAAAAAAGAAGTTGCCATCGAGTCAATTTTGACTCATGGCGACCCATGTGTTTCAGGGTAGAACTGCTCCATAGGGTTTTCTTGGCTGTTATCTTTATGGAAGCAGATGACCAGGCCTTTCTTCTGCAGTACTGCTGGCTGGATTTAAACCACCAACCTTTAGGTTAGTAGATGAGCACAAACCATTTGCACCACCCACTGGAAGAGTCTTTAGAAATTAACCTTCTTAAGGGGCATGACATGAATGGCAGGGAATAAAGATTATAGAAATGGCATGTATCACCCTTACCAAATTTTCTTCTGTCCTTAGGTCTCCTCCCTTACCTGTGTGAGAGTCAGTCAGAATCCTGCTTCTATCATTTAATTAGTCATGCGAACCCAACCCTTGCCCTCCCATGCACATTTCACTGCGTGCAGAATAAAATATCAAATTCCCTACAGTGTCATTTTCCATCTCGTTTTTGGAACATGGCAGAGTATTAAATAAATAAAAATACATAGGCCCACTTTTTCTGGCCCCACCCTATCTTTCTAGCTTTACCTCCCACTATTCCTTTCTATGACATACATACTCTTGGGCTGGCATCAGAATCACATGGAAGGTTTATTAAAACCCAGATTGCTGGGCCCCATCTCCATAACTCCTGACTCAGTATGTCTAGGGTGGAGCCTGAGACTTTGCATTCCTAACATATTCCCAGGTAATGTCAATGCTGCTGGTCTAGGGTCCACACTTTGGGAACTGCTGCTCTGATCCAACTGGACCTACTACTCTCTAGGGAGCTTCTTCCCCAGTCTCTTAGCTTCTACTATTCTTTTCATCTGGAACATCTTTTCTGCTGTTCTGAATCCTAGCTACCCATTAAGTTTCAGTTCAAATGCCACCTCCTCAGTCAAATATTATGCAATACTTCCAGCGTGAGTTCATTACTTTTTCTCTTCCTAACAACCCAAACACCTATCTGGCCCTCTTTTGTGTGATTTACTGTATCTACTTTGTGTTATTTGTATATGGTCTTATTGTCCCCCATGAAGCTATACTCCCTGAGGACAAAGCTTTTGAATCTTCTACAATACTTGTCAAAGTGGCTGGCAGAGAGTGGATCCTTCTAAATGTTTATTATTAAGGAAAAATCAATAAATGAATGAATGAAAACAATCATTCTCCTGAACTGGTCTGTGGGTCCTGTTACCTCTGCTAATTTTTTTTTTAAAGCGTTAATGCTGTTGAGCTGATGATATTTATCCCTTCATTCCACTCAAATGTCTTCATGAAGTGTATGTTTGGCATTTTGTTTTATATTAAGTAATGAGCGCTCGACTACTAGCCGTAAGTTTTGCGGTTTGAACCCACCCAGAGATGCCTCCGAAGACAGGCCTGGAGATCTGCTTCTAAAAGGTCACAGCTTTGAGAATGCTGTGGAGCAGTTATACTCTTCACACTTTGGGTCACCATAAGTCAGAGTCAATTCGACGACAGCTAGCAACAACGAATACGAACACTAAATTAAGGGATGAACATTCTTTCTCTTGGGTTCTATATGTATATTACAGTTAAGGTTTTGAGACAGCTTTGAGGTTCATACAAAAACAAGGCGGGGGAATAAGGCAAATGACCACTGACAATCCAGGGAAGGCTCATCTGAAAACGCTGGGACAGACTTTACTAACCCCTCAGGCTTTGCTTTGTGACCAGAGAAATATGAAAACGCTCCATGATCCCTGTGACAACTTGAGGCATTGCAACCCAGGGAAACTGTGACTTTCTGCCAAGAGTAGATGGTGGTCTCATGGGAACAGTAACACTACAATAGCAATTTGACATTGGTGGGTGGGTAGTCGAGGGCAATTTCATGGAGGCTTCACATCTTCTGTCTAATCCAGGCAGAACTGCCCTAAAGCTAGGAAGACTTGCAATATGTCAGTAGAAATCAGATAACGCTGACCTAGACCCAGCCACCTACCCCTGATTACCACCGGGCTAGATTAGCCAGCCTCTCTGATCTGGGAGGCTGGCCAGGAGGGAGGGGGTGGGGAGGGAAAACCCTGAAAGGACAGGACAATTGCTTCATTTGGCTGGGTTCCCGGCCAATGCCCTCATGCATAGCCACCACCTGCCTGTCAGTGGAGGCTTGTGTGTTGCTATGCTGCTGGACAGGTTTCAGTGGAGCTTTCAGCCTTAACAGACTAGGAAGAAAGGCCTGTGATCTACTTCGAAAATTCAGCCAGTGAAAACCGTATGGATCACAAAGGGCTGATCTGCAATCAATCATGGGGATGGCACAGGACTGGGCACCCTATGGTTCAGTTGTGCATGGGGTTGCTGGGAGTCGGGGTGGGGGAGCCACTCGACAGCAGTCAACAACAACCACCACCTGGTAGGAACTAGATTAATTTTCTTACCGTTACAGTGAAACAGAGCTTCAAGAAAGAAAGTCCATTTATAGGAAACATTAAAAGGTTGTATTAATGCCTGCTTGACTTTGTGGCTATGAAAGTTTTACAGCCACAAATCATTCTCATTTTCCAGAGAAAGCAACGGATAGTGAAAAAGGTGCTGGTCAGTTTCAGGGTTTTGGGCTCTGATGCTGCTTCTATCCCTGATGTATTGTGTTCAGGGCACTCCATCACTTTGCCTTTCAGTTTCTTCATTAGTAAGGCAAGAGATTTAGATTAAACAATTCATAAAGTTTCCCCTAGCTCTAATTTTTTTTTTTTTCCTGCGAATGGATAAAGCAAGAATGTTTTGATAGTCTAACGATTGAGAGTTTGGGATCCTTTGACCTGGAGCTCCAATAAGAGTCAGGAGAGTTTTGAAGTTTTGCAATCTGAGTCTGATGATGACATCAATACCCATATAGTGACAGAGGGTGCTATGCTGAATTCATACAGTTCTGAGGTACCCTACCTCACGGAGAGAGAGTAGAGCCCGATCCTTTCGTTACTGTCCCTTAGCAGGTAGCTTCCATCCCGTCCGTTTGAGAGAAGAAGAGCTTCTGCAGCATGGCGGGTGAGGTTGCTGTGATACCATCTAGGAAGGAAAGAGCAATGTTTCACTCAGGGCAAGACATCAGTGACGTCTCCTTTACTGGGTTTTTCATCTCAAAGAATACTTTAGCAATACTCTCCATATATGTAGCTCAGGGGCCAAGCTCTCAAACAAAATAGTAGGACAAGGAAATCGCTGAACGAGGTTGAAGGGGAGAGCAGAGAGGGTTGGCTGAGAGCAGTGTTACTTTGTAAATAACCCATTGCCATCGAGTTGATTTGACTCATAGTGACCCTATGGGACAGAGTCGAACTGCCTCATAGGGTTTCCAAGGAGCTGCTGGTGGATTCGAACTGCCGACCTTTTGGTTAGCAGCTGTGTCTCTTAACCACTGCCACCAGGGTGCCACTTTGTAAATAGAAATTTAAAAAAAGTCCAAGACAAAAATAACTATCAGAGTAGGCTTTGACCTATTTTCTCTCTTTTTGTCTCTCCCTCACCCTCATTTTTGCAAATGTGGTACCATTTCATGGAGAACCACTGAAATGTTAGACTAGAGTCCATTGTCATGAGCATAAGGAATTCAGATTTTTATAATGAAATGAAAGCCCCATCAAATATT